ATAACTACGTCAGTGACTGGACTAGCTTGTACAACTTTCCTAACTATTAAACGTGATATTCTAATCAATCTGTTAAAAAAAATGAGGGGTTTTCGAGCAGCTAATATCTAAAAATCAAACTTTAATCCTCTTGTAAAAATGATGGGCATTTAAAATACTTTTTAATATTTATTTTTCTTTTTTATTGAGGTATAACTAACATGGAGTAAAGTACACAAACCTTNAAGTCTGGAGCGATGCTGAGTGGAGTGAGGTAAAGGGGGTGGGGGATGTCATTTATAAATGGGGTCAAAAAAAGATCTACACCACATTTCAAGAGAACGAGCCTATGAAGTACTTAGAGAGGCCTATGTTTTCCTAAGCAAATGTGTAAAACTTTCTAAACTAGACTGAATCACCTCCCAAAGCACAATACTCTGCAGCAGAAAAACATTAAGGTATTTTTTTAAATTTTACTATGCAAAATTCCAAAGTTATATAATGATTCCCCCAAGTAACCTCGCCCAGTTTTGAAGCAAATCAGTAAATATTTCATTATGAATCTCTAATAGGTTTGAAGTATTCTTTTAGACAGATGGATTACTTGCTATTTGGAGACTTCTACAACATAAATGTGGAAAATGAGAAGACCAAATGGAGATCCATGGACATAGGGAAGGTTATAGTATCAGTCAGACATTTCAGACATTCAGGAGGAAAAGTCCAAATGGTCCTTTGAAAAGTAAAAGGGTTGACAGTGAAAAAACACAATTATGAAGAGAGTTCAAAGTAAAGTAATTGATTCTAGAAGAACTAAAACCATGGACTGTCAATGACCTGAACTTGATCATCAGGCAAAAACAGTAATATTTTTTTATTATTTTCCTGCCAAGAAGAATATAGACCTCCATTCTAGATGATAATGAAGTTTTAAGAGGAAATACAGATGTCATTAATGAACTTAAGCAGGAGGAGAAGAAAATTTATATGTAAAATTACTCAACTAATGTACAAATTGGAGAAACCACAGTATCTAAAAACTTCACAGATACCAGAGATGTACCTATGTGCATTTCTCATCCTAATGAAAGTAATTATGTCAACAGAAGCAATGTTACTGTACTCTTTCTTTTTTATTTGCCTTTCTTTATTATTACTAATTATTTGGCCAATTTCCTAAAGAGTCTGGCATATAATTTTCTAGCTCTGTTTACAGCCAGTGATTGGGAAAGCAGCTCCTCCTGAGGAATAGGTGAAAAGCTATATAAAGGTCACTGACAGATACTGTTAATATCTAAAAATCAAACTTTAATCCTCTTGTAAAAATGATGGGCATTTAAAATACTTTTTAATATTTATTTTTCTTTTTTATTGAGGTATAACTAACATGGAGTAAAGTACACAAACCTTAATTGCACAGCTCAGTGAATTTTTACATATCCATACATATAACCATGTAACATCTGGGAAGAGAACATTTTCAGCACTCTAGTAAGCTTTCTTGTGTCTCTTCCAAATCGATAATCCTCATCTATCACCACCAAAATAACCTATTTTAACTGTAATTGCAAGAAATTAGTTTGGCCTACTTTGAATATCTATGGATGTAATTATACAGTAACCACTCATTTTTTAAATTTAGTATGTTTTTATTGATTCTTAGGGAGAGAGATAGCAACATCGATGAGAGAGAAACATCAACATCGATTAGCCACCTCCCGCACCCCCTCTGCCAGGGATAGAGCCTGCAACCCAGGCATGTGTCCTGACGGGGAATCGAACTGGTGACCTCTTGGTGCATAGGTGGGCACTCAACCACTAAGCCACACCAGCCAGGCAATAACCACTCTTGTGTCTGCCTCTTTTGCTCAACATTATTTCTGATATTCATCCATTTTGTTTCATGTATTAGTAGTACTGCACATGATTTTTTTTTCTTTTTTTAATTGGAGGGGTTAGTTCTCTCAACATCATGTTTATTAGTGTGCATAATAACTTAGATGTTCTGCTATGAACATTCTTGAACATATTTTTTGGTATTCATATACATGCATTTTCTTGGGCACATACTAGAGTGGAATTTCAGGGTCACAGAGTATTCATATGTAGAGTAAGGACAATAAACATATCAAATCCACTTTGGATTTCATCTAGTAGCATGTGGTCATAAAAGACAGGCCTCAGGCCTGGCCAGAGTGGCTCAGTTAGTTGGAGCATTGTCCCATGTGCTGAAAGTCTGCAGGTCAGATTCTTGGTCAAGGCACATACCTGGGTTACCAGTTTGATCCCCAGTCATGGCACGTGCGGAGGGTAGCTGATCTATCTTTCTCTTTTGCTCTCTCTTTCCCTTCCTCTCTCTAAGCATGTCTTTTGGTGAGGATTTAAAAAAAAAAAAAAAAAAGCCAGCCCTTAGGAAAAAATTTTTGGGAAGTAAGTTGATATAAACTACTCTCATTAGCNTGTCTTTTGGTGAGGATTTAAAAAAAAAAAGCCAGCCCTTAGGAAAAAATTTTTGGGAAGTAAGTTGATATAAACTACTCTCATTAGCCACCAAGAACAACCAGGGGGAAAAAGGCAGTCATCCTACTGAGGGCTACCTTTCCTCATATTTTTATCTTATTTCAGAACTGCTGCTTCTTCCTCCACATCAAAAGTCTAATCTCTCAGCATCTTAAACTAAGCATTATGAAACTACCTAACTTGTAATTCCACTCACAACAGCCAAGAGTTCCAGTTTTCATTGGCCAAGGTTTTTCTTCAACTTTATAAAAATTAAACAATTTTATAGTGTTTTTAAAATACATGGATTTATATGCATTATAAACTGCCTCTCAGTAGTAATTTTGTGGATGTTTATGTCATAATCTATTTAATTCAAGTACTACCGTGGTGTTGGAGCAAAGTCAATCCACTATGTAAATGAATGTTCATGAAACTTGCCACTAAAGAAATTAAGTAGTTGCTAGGAACTCAAGCAGTATGTAATTGAACATCTTACTCCTATTCTCAGTAGCATCTGCTGGCTTTGCTAACCCGAACATGAACACATCACTAAATATGAAGAGCCTTTCATTACCCCAGTCAGGTCTTAAAATTCCAGGCTGCTAGCATTCTACCAGTAAAAAAATTCATTCTCAGCATCCAGTGATCAATTCTGCACCCAGTGATCTCTGGATAGTGTAGTGATATTTCCCTGAATCTCTCTATGGAACATCAAAGGTAAAACTCTTTGCATCTTCTTTTGCAGAATCATCAGAAGTAGCAGAGGTAATAAGCAATAATCGTCTTATGCTCCTACACTCCCATTCCCCCAAGGGCCAAAGTCTCCTACAAGGGGTCTTCATAATAATCCAAAGCCTCCATGTTTATGAAGAAAAAGAAAACACTTAAGCCTAAAAGAGGACCTCTTCACATTCTCCAAGCTGATGTCCCACTTCATACATTTATAAGATCTCTCATTTTCTCTTCCCCATTCACCCAGGAAGTGAATTACAAATAAATACCCAATGCACTCTCTTCCCAATTTCACATCTTCAAACTGGTTGATTTTGTCATTAGTCATCATCTCACTCATAAAAAATCCATTTCCATGTGCCCTGGCCAGAGTGGCTCGTCTTCCCATGCATCAAACAGTCACAGGTTCAATTCTGGGTCAGGGCACATACCTGGTTATGGGTCCAATTCCTAGTCAGGGCACATGCATGAGGCAACCTATTGATGTTTCTCTCTCACATCGATGTGT